CCAAGCGCCCCCTAACCTGCTCTGCCCCGGCCTCCCCCAAGTCAGATGCTGCTGAAATTGACCAGCGGCTGACTCCGGGAAGCCCGGGGCAGAGCACCCCAGCTGCTCTGCCCCGCGCTTCTCCGAGTCAGCCGCTGGTCAGTTTCAGCAGCGGCTGAATCGGGGAAGCTGGGGGCAGAGCAGCTCCAATTGTCCGGCTGCCCGGAGCACTTCCAGGTTCCAGATGGTGCCGGACCATCAGGAGTGCGGGACCACTGGATGCTGGACCACTGGAGTTTTACTGTATATTGACTCTCTCCTCAGGGCCTATGTTATCAGCACTTCTAGCTATCTTTGAGACACTGAAGAAATTGAAGAATTTCACAGGGGTTTCAACAACTTCCACCCCATCATCAACCTCAGCCTGGATCAATCCACACGAGGGAGCCACTTCCTTGACACTACTGTACAATTACATGATGGACACATTTCCACCACCCTATACTGGAAACCTACCTACCGCTACACTTACCTTCATGCCTCTAGCTTGCATCTCACACACATTTCTCAATTTATTGTATAATGTCCAAGCCTTAAAATACAACCGGGATTTGCTCCAATCCCACAGAGACAAACACCTACAAGAGCTATATAGAACATTCTTAAAACTGAAATACCCACCCGGAGAAGTGAAAAAATAGATCAACAGAGCCAAAAGAGTACCCAGACACAAACTACTTCAAGACAGGCCCAAAAGAGAAAACAGAATTCCACTTGGCATCACCTACAGTCCACAACTTAAAATAAAATATCTACAGCCTATCCTGGAAAATGATCCCTCACTCTCACAGGCCTTGGGGGAAAGGCCAATCATTGCCTACCGACAACCCCCTAATCACAAACAAATTATTTCCAGTAACCACACAGCACACCTCCATCATAATCGTCCAGGAACCCACCCCTGCAATCAGCCCCAGAGCCAACTCTGCCCACACATCTACACTAGCGATTTCGTCACTGGACCCAATCACATCAGATGCTCATTTAACTGCACATCCACTAATGTGATCTATGCCATCAAATGCCAGCAATGCCCCCCTGCAATGTATATTGGCCAGATTGGACAGTCTCGATGGGAAAGAATTAATGGACACAAATCAGATATCCAAAAAGGCAATACACAAAAAACTGTTGGAGAACACTTTAATCTGCCTGGACATGCAGTAATGGATCTCCAAGTCACCATGTTGTTTCAAGCCAATTCCACAAGCCAGATACACAAAGAAGGATTAGAACAAGTTTAATTCTTATGAACAGGGACATCCTCTGCTGCCTCACATACTACCTTTCACATCCTAATGACTTAACCAAACAAACAAACAAAAGAGGTGCTAATTGTTCTTATCAGCCTCTTGTAACTATTTGAACCATCTACTCACTGTCTCTCTTTTTTTCCCTCCCTTCCTTTTTTCTCTTTTTTTCCCTCCACACTTTCCCCCTCCCCCTTCCCTTATTTATTCTTGGATCTGGACTTCTAATACTCCTGTCATCTGAAGTGGGTTGTGCCCACAAAAGCTGATGATACCAACTACATGTTTTCTTAGTCTTTAAGGTGCTACTAGACTATTCATTGTTTTTTAAGTTTTTTCCTGTTACAGACTAACTCAGCTACCCCTCTGAAGCTGTTGTAACCAAGACAGTCTCTCAGAATAGTGTAGTTTTTCTAGCTGCACTTGCATATGTAGAATTTGTGGGGTGTGCTAAATGAACCGTAGCAGTACACTGACTGGATGCAGTGGGAGACCATAGCTCCCACAATCAAGGTTTTGTGCAATCAGCAAGTACCTCAATTCATGAGCCCTTGCTCTACATGCGTGTCACTTTAGTAATACCAGTAGGACAAAATCTACACAGATGGAAACCAGAGAAAGCTGGCAACCCCGCTCATGGGCAGCATGGTAAACAAAATGTCTCATGGGTCACACATAGAACCCTGATGGGCTGCAGCTAGCCCACCACTAGTTTATAACATTAGCACCAACTCCATAATAATTAGTGATTGTTAAAACTCCTATTGGGAAAAAACAACCAGTTACACAAGTGTACAGGCCAGAAGCTGTATGCCTTTCACAATTAAATTAACATAACATTTGGAAAATATGCCTTAAGAAGCTCAGTCTATTTAGCTCTATTTACATGCCTTCCCTCCTCCCCCTTCACGTTAATGTGTAACTGCTGAAATTTTAAGCCAGCACCCTGTGAGCACGGTGCTCCCATGGAGCTGCCTCCTCTCTCCCACACTGCTGCTGCTAGGACAGGGTGAAGGAAGCAGCTCCACAGGAATCGGTGCTCGCAGGAAACTGGCTTTTAAATGCTAGCTCCCCGTGAGCACTGGCTCCCGCCTACACCCCCAAACTGCTGCCTATATATCAGAGGCAGCAGCATGGGGGGGGGGGGGGAGGGGGAGAGAGCCAGTTTAAAACCCAGCTCCCCACAAGCACCAACTCCCACCTCGCATGTAACCGTTTAAACGAATACGCTAACACATCCCTAACATGATTCCATGGCTAGAAGGAAGTTAGACAAATTCAAACTGGAAATAAGGTGTACATTTTTAACAGAAAGAATAGTTAACCATTACTGACAATTTTTAAATCAAGATTGGATGCCTTTCTAAAGATTTTCTCTAGGAATTATTCTGGAGAAGTTTTCTAATCCGTGCTATACAGGAGGGCTGATCAGATGATCACAATGGCCCCTTCTGGACTTGCAATCAATGAATGAGTTCCAAGGTATAAATTAAAGCAGAGAGGAGCAACCTAGGCTAGTGAGTGGGCCACGAGTGGCCCTCTTTCATCTCAGTGGCCCACAAGATTGTTATATCCAAGACAGTCTCCCGGGATAGGGTAGTTTTGCTAACTGTGCTTGCATACCTAGAATTTGCACTGTGCTGACTGAACAATAGCAGCAATCTGGATGCAGAGGGAGCACATGGCTCTCACGATGTTGACAGCACACACCTTACCACATGTCCTTGCTTGACATGTGTCACTTTTATAATATCGGTAGGAAAAAAACGATGTGGATGAAAACCAGCAGAATCTGGCAACCCTGTGCGTGGACACCAGTAAACAAAATGTTTTGTGGGCCATACACAGAACCCCAATAGGCATGTGCCCCTTGGGCCACAGGTTGCCGATGACTGAATTAAAGTGTTACCATTTAACATATCATAACTTTCAAGGGATGTTAAAAGGATTAACTTCAGCTGGACAGCTTGACAGAGTCCTAAAAAATACACAAGAGTTTGCTTATTACAAAAGCTTCTACTATCTTTTGAAACTTAAGACAATAACTCATTTGTGTATGTATGCTGATCTGTTTTAATCTTGTTTCTTTTTCCCAGTTAATAAATCTTTAGATAGTTTCTTATAGGCTACAAGCATTGTCTTTGTTATGATATCCAAGGTCTGCCTGACTGGGGAAGGTACTGATCCTTTGGGGCAGGGAGTAACCCATGATCCTGGTGAAAGAGACAATCTATCACAAAGGTACTCTTTGATGTTGTTGCCCTAGGGAGGCATCTGTGTCTAAAACCAGCCTGGAAATCTTATCATAGCACGACACCAAACTGTATTGAAAAAACCCACACTGCATACCTCCAATTCTTCAATAGTAGTATTTTCTTCATGGACTTTCAGATCATTCTGTGTGTCTTCTTCTCCTGGTTCCTGACCTCCTACAATTTCATTCAGATACTGCTGGTCAATCTTATCCAGAGCAGCCTTCAGGTCATTTCTCAAACCCTAGGAGAAGGTGAAGACATAGCTATTGTCACTATCTTATTTTACTTTTGATAATCAAATGAAACTTTCCACATTTGTTCATTAAAGGCCAAATCCTGCAGAGACAATTATAGGCTTGGCAGAATTCAAGTTTTGTTTCTGGGTTGTTGTTATTTTCTAATTTTGATCCTATTTATTTTAAGATCTGGTTTCCTGTGAGGCCAAGAGACCCAAGACACCACGGTGCAAGGTAAGGATGTAAAAGTGTGGTCGATTAACTGATAAGCTAAAGCTTATAAGTTAATGCTATATACTACACACACTCCCCGCCACTACACACACTTGCCAGTAAATTTTTTAGCAGGCTGGCAAGCAGCCCATTTCAGTCCTGGCTTGTGATGAGTCCAGGACCTAGCTCTGTATTTAAAGTGTATTAGGTGCCGGACGGGCAGCCATCCCAGTTCAGTTCCAGCTTGCGCCAGGTCTGGGAGCTCAGACCCCCACCCTAGACAGGGGACGCTGCCACCTCTTTATCAGAGGCAGCAACACAGAGCAACGGGCAGCCAGTTTTTTTAAACTTGCTCCCCTCGTGGACCAGCTCCCACTTGGCACCCTACACTGCTGTCTCTGATACAGTGGCAGGGGTCTTCTCGGGAGTGAGGCCGGAGTGCACTGGCTGACGGCCCCGCCCCTAGGGATTATAAAATAGCTGGCTAACCAATAAGAATTCACGAGGTTACTTGACTATTCAAGAAACTGATATTTAACATCCCTAGTGCAAGGTCCAAAGCACACTGTGAAGAGCTTCAAAAGGATCTCACAAAATTAGGTGACTGGACCACAAAATTGCATTTATCAATGTTAATGTTCATCTGCTAAGTAATGGATATTGGAAAACATAATCCCAACTATACGTATGAAATTATGAGGACTAAATTAGCTGTTGCCACTCAAGAGAGAGATCTTGGAGTCATTATGGATACTACTCTGAAAACGTCCACTCAATGTGCAGCAACAGGCAAAAATCAAGTAGAATGTTAGGAATCATTAAAAAAAGGATAGAGAATAAGACAGAGAACATCTTACTACCTCTATATAAACTGGTGGTACACCCACATCTTCAACAGTGGGTACAGATATAGTTGACTCATCTCAAAAAGATTATCTTGGCATGGGAGAAAGTTCAGAAAAGGACAAAAACAGGTTAGGGGTATGGAACAGCTGCCATATGAGAAGAAATAAAAAAAACTGTGAATTTTCAGTTTAGAAAAGAGAAGACTAAGGGGAGAATATTATAGAGATCTATAAAATCATGACTAGTATGGAGGAAGTGAATAAGAAAAGATATTTACTTGTTCCCACAACACTAGGGATGTTAAATATCGGTTAATTGAATAGTCAAGTAACCTCATGAATTCTTATCGTTACTTGACTATTCTATAATACCCAGGGGTGGGGCTAGCAGTGCTCCAGCCCCCTTCCCGAGGAGCCCTCTGCCACTCCCCGTTGCTTCCTCTGTATCAGAGGAAGCAGCGTGGGCTGCCAGGTGGGAGCTGGTCCACGAGGGGAGCCAGTTTAAAAACCAGCTCCCCTCGCAGACTGGCTGCCTGTGGCCCAATGCAGCAGCCCCTGTCTGGGAAGGGGGAGGGTCTGAGCTCCCTTACCCAGCGCAAGCAAGAACTGAGCCGGGCTGCCTGCCCACCTGGCTCCTAATACACTTTAAATGCAGAACCACAGCAGGGGTAGGTCCCAGAGCACGGCCGTACTGGGTCAGACCAAAGGGGGGGGGGGGGGTGCGTGTAGTCTATAACATTAAGCTATAAACTTTTGCTTATCGGTTCGGCTACACTATTACATCCATATATAAAGTAAGAATCACCAAATGAATTTAATAGGTAGCAGGTTTAAAACAAACAATAGGAAGTATTTCTTCACACAACATACAGTCGACTTGTGGAACTCCTTGCAGAGGATATTGTGAAGTCCAAGACTAACAAGGTTCAAAAATGATTTAGATAAATTCAGGGAGGATAGATCCATCAATGATGCCCCTACCCTCTATTTGCCAGAGTGGACTGGGTGACAGGGGTGGATCACTCAATGATGACCTGTGCTGTTCATTCCCTCTGGGCCACCTAGCCACAGTTGGAAAACAGGATACTGGGCTAGATGAACCTTTGGTCTGACCCAGTATGGCCGTTCTTATGTGCAAGAAGAGCAATGGTTGTCCTGGGCAGAGATCCCTGGCCATGACTGTAAGGAAAATGACCTGCAGCCACAGGCAAAGCGATACTACTGGCTTGTGAGTGAGCAAACATGGGCGTGATAACAGAGCTGCAGAGGATTCCCTTCATGACCAAAGGGCTGATGACATCAGATCACTGCAGACATGCCAGTTGTTACTGATTGATTTTTTCCCCATTGATTTCAGTGTACCATCTGAAATCAACATTTACTGAGTTATCAATTAAAATCAAATTTCCATCTAGCCTACTTATATAAAGTGTTTAATCTTAAGCACATGAATAGTTCCATTGGATGCCTTCAAGAGAAGCACTTAAATGCTTAAAATTAACTACCGAGCTAAGTCTTTACAGAATCACATACTTTAACAGCAGGAAAGAAAGGAGGATGGATTCAGCCTTCAGGGCTCTCAGTATGGTACCTTTCATGAGCAATAAACTCACAAACACAAGAAATGCAACAGTGGAGTCTCATCCAGCCGTCTGCTCTGCCCTGAACAAACAATGACATTTATCTACAATGACTCCAACCATCTGTGCATTGTCACCTTTAGTATAGATAAAAGATTATTGCCTTTTTTTAAACACAACAGTAATTGAAATAAGACATTCAGTGAATGGTTTAATTTTTCTTATTCAAAGAAATGTGTGCAATTAAAACATGGAGTAAGGTGATACATTATGATTACAGTCTGGTGCTAAGCTTTTAAGTAACAGAAAGAAAAGTGAAAATTGTGCTTACTTGAATGCTACAGAACGCCTATTCTCTAAATGACGCAGTCCTAATGGTACAAAGTCCTACCATTTAATAGGCTAAGCCTCACCCTGAGACAAGCTCCCTTACTCCTACAGTTTGGAGTACAGATATTTACTTATTTCCACCTTTTCAGTAGGGATGTAAAAGTGTAACCATTGAAACAGTTTACCAATATGCACCAGCTTATTGGTTTCTGTTATGGTTACACTCCAGCTCCCCAGGAGCCAGATGTCACCCTGCAACGAAGCCTCCCCAGGGCTGGCAGGGGCTGCCGGCTCTGCTTCTGGAGAGCTGCTGTCACCCTGCACTGAGGGCTCTGCAGTATAAAAATTATACTACAAAGCTCGAAGCACATGTAACTGATATGATTTTTAGTGGTTACACAGTTATATTTTTACATTACTTTTTACATCCCTACTTTTCAGTAATTGCTCTTGACTATCAGGAGTACTTCACTCAGCCATTTTTGTTAGCTTCCGATATTTGAACCAAAATAGCTTTCAACCCCACTCAGGTGGAGCTAAACCACTACATGGATTTAGAAAACATGTTTCAAGCCTATTTTATTTTCTGCCTTACAGCCCAGTCCTGCTTTCATTAATGGCAATGGCAGCATTGCCACTGACTTCAGTGGGATCAGGTCTTTGCTGACAAGACTTTTTAAAAAATGTTGTCTTGTTTATCCAGCTTCAAGTCTTTAGAGAGGAAAAGAGGTACGAGTACTGCACAGAATCACCAGGTCCTGAACTAGCTGGGGCCCTTGTTTAGCAACTCATTGGAGACATGAGATAGATTTGAAAGGGTTTTTAAATCAATGACTACTTGGGCACATAAATAAACAATGCTGATGATGATGTAGAAGAGAATTCAACTTATTCTTCTAGTTGTGTTTGCTGGAATATGTAAAAATTAATAGGAGTCAGTCACAATAGGCATTGCCTTTAAACATGTTTTTTTCCTTTGTTTCTGCAATCTGAAAAAATAAATTAAAAGTCCGGCCAAAGTAGGTA